TACAGTACATAACAAAAAGGAATCCTTTCCCTGATATGCTCCAAAGACAGCGCTTCAGGATTATTCATGGAGAAGACCTAGAGTGGGAAGGAAGCTTGGGTGACTCTTCTTTAATTTTAAATATCTAATGTGATTGACAAGGAGATCCAATTTCACTTGGCTTGAGACCCACCCGACATGGTGGCACACCTGTAATCCCAGCACTGGAGAGGCTGAAAACAGGAGGATCACTACGAATCTAAGCTACATAGTGAGACCCCCCCACCAAGTACATTAAAAACCCCACCCCTTTATGGTATTCTATTTAATTTTTTAGAAGGAAACTGGGTATTTATACCTTAAAATGAGAACTTGGGAGGACTATCTTTGGTTTGGATAGTTGTGTTCACAGATCTGTAATTTACCTCCCCCTGAAGCCCCTAATTCTATCATACTTTCCTTTGATAACTATCCTTTAAAAGTTATTTCAAAGTAAATAAATTCTTTTTTTTAATTTATGAGATTACACATTCAATAGCTTTTTAAAAAATCTTTTAGGGAAGGGTCTACAGGGTGTTCAGGGTCTCACTACTAGATCAGACTCAGTGATCTGCCTGTTTACAGCCTCCCAACAGCTGGGATTACAGGTACGTGCTACCATACCCAGTCTCAATTCCTATCTCAGTGCGCCCCGGGGGGAGGGATCAAACCCGCAGGCCCTGTGCCTGCTTGCAGGCACTTTAATCCGCTGAACTATTTGGCCAGTCTATCGACAGTTTTGTTCCATGCAAAAAGCAGCTCAGTCTAGTTGCCCCCTGTAGCACTCTATCTTTACAGTAGGGACAGCATATAGCTTTTTGAGTTTTCATTAACAAGCTCTATGCATCTTCCCACTGGCTATTTCTTCATTAGGTTCCTCTTTGAGATCAGGATGTAAGCTTGAAACAACATAGATAAACTGTAGGCTGAGTTGAAGTTTGGGTCATGCAAGCAAAGACAAGCTTCTTAGAACACATAACATCTAAATGCCTTCTTTCTTATGCTGGCAGTAGTGGTGTAAATTTTTGTAACAATACTGTGAAATGGAAAGAGATTGTTCAAAAGGAACTAGGATGGATGACAGGGGAAGGGACAATAGGAAAAAGGGAAAAATGCAGTCAGTTGTACTATTAGTGTCTCTGAGTTTATTAAAAAGTGAAGCTTGTGCTAATAACAATTGGAGAAATTTTATGCCGTATCTTATACCCTGAGTAACTACTTTAAAGATAGCATGTAATCCATTAACTAGTGTTATTCTCTAATTACTTTGTTATGAAATTTTGTTTCACCTTCTTCCATAACATAAAAAAATATTGTGACATTTATATTAAACAGGTAGGAAATTTTATTATATTCTGGGACAGTACTGGCTCTGTTCTAATGTGGGGAAAGTCACAAGACACTTTAGATTTTTTTCAAAATGGATTAAAGTCTTAAAAAGACATGAAGTTACCGGAAGAAAACATGAAAGACTTCAAGACAATGCAAAGGATTTTTTTTGTGAGACTCCAAAAGTATGGGAAATGCGAAACAAAAGACAAATAGGATGACACACTGCTGCACAGAAAGGGAAACAATTAACAGAGTGAAAAGACAATACACAGAATGGGAATAATATCTGCAAACCACACATCTGCCACAGGACTAATATCCAGGATATTTCAGGAACTGATACAACTGAATAACAGTACAGCAACAACATCAAATACTCCAATTTAAAAGCAGACAATATAAAGGCATATTTCTCAAACTATACAAAAATGGTTAACAGATACATCAACTTCAGTAATTATCACAATAGTGAAAATCTAAACCACCCCAGTTAGAACGGCTATTACAAAAATGACAAAATATGAGAAAAGTGCTGATGAGGATGGGGAGAAAAGGAAATGAACTGTTGGAGGTTTCTAAAAAAAAAAAAATCAAAGTTGCCATATGACCCAGCAGTCCCACTCCTGGCTCTATATGTATCCAAAGAAAACAAAGCCAGGGAGATGGCTCAGCAGCATCAGTGACTACCTGGTAAGCACAAGTTCCTGAGTTTGAGCTCCAGTATAAAAAAAGAAAGAAAAGAAAGAAAAGAGAGAGGGAGGGGGGGAGGAAGTGAAATGAGTCATACAGCTCTACCCACAATATATAGTAGCGTTCTATTCACAATAGCCATGAAATGGTAACAACCTGTCCATCAATGATGAATGAATAAAGGTGTGCCCTATATCCAAGCAGGAATGCCACTCAGCCATAAAAGGGGATGAAAAACTCATCATTTGTGGGGATCTGGATAGAACTCAAGAGCATTGTGTAAGTGAAGCCACTTATAAGTGGAATCTGCAGAAGTTTATCTCACAGAAGTTGAGAGTCAAATAGTGTTCACCAGAATGTGGAAGAAGAATGGGGGTTGGTCAACAGAACTAAATTGTAGCAAGGAGGGCTAAGTTTTGGTGGTCTTTTGCAGAATAGGGTGCCTATACCCAATGGTCATATCCTACGTATTTCACAAAAAGCTACACAGGATATGATAAATGGTTAAGAAGACAGATGTATTTAGCCTGATTTCAATATTACAGTGTGTTCATGCTATCCTATAAATATGCACAATTTTGTCAACCAAAAATAAGTAATTTTCGAAAACAGACAGATCCAAAGTCAATAATTAAGAGGTCTGTCTGTATGCACATTATGCATGTATATGTATCATTAGATTTTATTTAATTGAGGTTAAAATGTACTCTTAATCATGTTGGCCGTGTCATTGGGGAAAGTTGGCCGAGATCAGAATTTGATCCAGAATACTGTGGGCAACCTACACTTTGATACTGAGAAGTGTAACTCTTATGAAAGAATGACAATAGTCAGGTTGAGTCTGTACCCTCCATCCATCCCTTCTCCCCTACTCTTATTGTGAGATACTTACTCAAAATCCTGGCAAGGGCTGGGGAGGCGGATCAGTGGTAGAGCTCTTGTCTTGCATGCACACGGTCCTGGGCTTGACCCCCAGCACCACAGATCCTTTTCTCCTTTTGATTGTTTCCTTTGCCCTTTACAATGAAGAACTATGACATTAACCAAGTCCTTATTTTTACTTTCTCCAAGTACATACACTGTGCATGGCCAACTGAACTGGGTATTGTCCTGTCGTGATCTGAAAAGGCCAACTTTGGGTTCAGAAGTTAAGGTGCTTATAATGGAAAATGAACAGATGATTTGGATGCAATAAGAAAGGCTCCTTGGGAAGGAAGGACTTAGATATAGTTTTCTTCTTTAGGCTCTGAGTTTTTATTTCTTCAAGATGGTCAAGGGAGTTTTAACATTTGGGTGGCAAAGAGGAGAGAGAATTTTTAAAAAGGAAAATGATTTCCAGAAGTTGTTTCTGTTTGTATCTACTTTAAATTCCTTGTACAGTCAAGCAACATCCTAAACCTCAGACTTTTCCTTAAGCTAGAAATGTTTTAAGATATAGGTCCCATTAACACTTGAGAAAAGTGATTAAGTCCATGGAACAGAGTATTAGTTGCTTCTTGGGATGATTTCCTGCCCTGTACTTTTTTTTTTTTTGTGGAGCCAGGGATTGAACTCAGGCCCTTGCGCTTGCCAGGCAAGCACTTATTCAACTGAGCTATGTCCCCAGCCCCTTCCTGCCCTGTATTTTTTGAGGTTCTGGTTAAATGACCAATCTTCTAGTCATTTGAATTTATTTTGCTACTATGTATTTCAGGATACAGAGTTTAAAAATATGACATTTATTGCAGATTGTACTGTGGATTCCATGTGTATAAAGATAAATGCTCTTGAAAACTGTATCTGTGCCAAAACCGACCAGAGCACTGGCGGGCTGACATGGTGGCTCTGTGTCTGCTCCTCTACCGAAGGGATCCTCTTGGGGCCAAGTGGAGATGAACTAGGATGTGTAAATGTTGGCCATTTTCCCTCTATTCTGAGATTTTTTTCCAGAAAGTGTGCTTATACCAAAATAGAGATTGGTAACTTATCAGTTTATGCCCACCACGACACATGAATCCAGGATAGGAGTTCATTAAGAACTTATATTCACTGCCTGGGACTATCTCACAGGAACCTAGTGATGAGGCACGACAAATGGCCCGTGAGGCTGTAGAGTCTTCAGGTGGTCCGGTCACTGGTGCTGCACTTGTGTGTTTGAATAATTAATAGGTTCTGTATATCATTCTTGCCCCCTTCACATGCCATTGTCCCTTTGGATCTTATCACGCCTTATAAACTAGCTTTCATACAATATAGACCAGGAAACGGAGGCTGAGAAATAATACAAGTTGCTTAAAGCCACACAGCTATTGAATGATAGTGGGGATTTGAAATCAGATGTCATGAGCCCCTGATGCCTCCTGAGTGTAACTGGTGTACCATTAATGTGTTCTTTTCCTGTGCTGCCTTTGGCTTTTGTGCATTAAAATTGATTAGACAGAGCTTTTGGATAAATTCTATTTCATTGTTATTATTTAAGATGGTTTATATTGATTCGTTTGTTGAAGATCAAGAGAGGTGAGAATTGAGGACCTTAGGAATAAGCAGAGACTATAAGCAAGACATAAGTCATATATATATATATATATATATATATATATATATATATTTTAGAAATATATATATTTCTAAATCTGCTTCTGAGAATGTGATAAGATTTGTACTCAGATTTTTTATTTAAACTTTAATCTTTTTATTGTCATGACCAGTATACACATGTGTTTTTCCCCCTACTTTTCAGGAATTTTCTGTGACCCTCCTCCTCCTATCAAAAATGGCCGGAAAAGTACCCCTTTTGAGCCCATACGTCTGCATACTGTAATAGTGTATTCCTGCAGTCCTGGCTTCCGCATCATTGGAGAAAGAATTATTCACTGTATAAGTAAAGACCAAGTGAATGCAGTCTGGGATAAAGCCCCTCCTAAATGTGAATATTTCAATAAAAATTCTTCGTGCTCTGAGCCAGTAGTCCCAGGGGGATACATACGTAAAGGAAAATCACCGTACAGACATGGTGATTCTGTGACATTTAGCTGTAAAGCCAACTTCTCCATGAAAGGAAATCAATCTGTTTGGTGCCAAGCAAACAAAAGCTGGGGTCCAACACCACTGCCCACCTGTGAGAGCGGTGAGTACAAGGGAGGGCTGGGCCTTG